TCTGCTCACCTTTACCAACTAGGCTGAATGATACCTTCACTCCTCTTGGGCCTGCAGAGCTGCTTGGCTCAGGGAGAACAAGCTGCATCTTTCTCCGTCTCACTTAATTCACTAAATGCCAGCTCTGTATCTGTTATCCCTGGCACCTGAGAAATCAGCTTTTCTTTCTGATGGCAGAGTCTGCTAGCAGGTGGGATATGGTCTCTGTGGCCAAGCTGAGCTGGTGTCAGAGGCAGCACCAAGCTGCTCACTGCTATTCCTGCAGAGCAACCTTCCCCCCTTACCCCCCAGACCTTAGCTCTTGCCCTGTGCCACTAACTGTTGTAGGTGATAAAAGGCAGCAGATACTGGGGCTTCTTGCTGGCCACACCTTCCTCTAGAGGAGGCACCTCCAAGGTTTCCTTCTCTGGATGATCACAAATGTTTATTTTCCTGCACCCTCCTTCCCCTGCTAGACTTGGAGGGAGCCGAGGCATATGAATGGAGCCTTTTGGATTGTCTCACTAACGCCACCCTTCCCTTGGCCATTGAGGTATCCGAGGGCTAGGGTGCATGGCTTCAGAAGGAAATTTCCTACAGCAAGATGTTTTTAAATGGTGTATATTTTATATTAATTTTTTTGGGATGTATGTAAAAATATTTGATTTGTATTAAAACTTGTAAATTGTATTAAAAAAAAACCAAAAACCCAGACCCACACGCATCCAGTGTATGAACGGCAATAAATGCTTGTCTTGGGTAACACACAGAGTGAGAGTGGGAGGGAGTTTGCACCCAGCAAAGTGAGGAGATAAAAATGTGTATGGCTGTTTGGGTCATAGGGTCCAAGTTACCTGGCTCACCTGTTGTAGGGACACAGCGCGACAGCTTGATGCTCCTGGGACCCGATCCTAGTACTTTTTCCCACTTTTTGCTCAGGTTTGGGCAAATCTGTCCAGCTCTGCATGCCTCTTCCTACAGAGTAACAGACTGATTACCTCACGATCTCCTGGATCCCAGGCAGAGCACACATGGTTGTTCCCAGGCACTGCTTCGGTTGTGGCTGGTGGCACAGTTTGAAGCCCTCTGGATGAAAGGTCAGGGGTGAGCTGGAACAGGCACTGTGAGCACTGGAGAAAAGCAGAGTGGCAAGACGAGGAGGCCTGCGCTTCTTGTTCTAAGTGAAGCAGGACCTGGTGTCACTGTGGCTGCACTCTGACCACCAAGGAAGATGGAGGAGTACTTTGCCTGGCAGGCAGGGGTAGCCATGGCTTCAGACATGCCAAAAGCTGGGCAGTGGGGCACTGGAAGGTAGTGTTGGTCTCCAGCACTCTCACCGTGTTACTGCCATGGTGACAAGACTCAAACTGAACATTAACCTCGCTGGAGGCAACAGCAGGACTCTTACCGGGGAGATTAGCTGAGGAAACCCAGATCTTAAGCACTCAAGGGGCAGGATAAAGCTGATCCTCGATGAACTTCAAACAAACAGTGCAGGAGACAAGCTTGTCGGAGTTGACATGAAGGAGACAACTAGGCAAAACTATCAAAAGGGTAAAATATGCCCCACTGTTTAATAGAATTTAGTCTTAATGGTTGTTAGTGGAAAACAACACACATGATTAACACAAAGAGAGCAGATGGTTTAAAAATCTGTTGTCAGTCTGGTGATTACATGGGCTGTTTTTTCCCCTCACTGTCTTGCTGCATGGAGCAGGTGCAGCCGGGGTCAGTTAGTCCCAGTTGCAGTGTACATAACTTACACACCATACAGTAGCTTCAAAATAGAGATCTAGAGCTTAAAAAATAGGCATTCTTCTGCAAAATCAAATGTTTAAGTCCCTTATTGACAATGAGAGCAGCATGGTGCTGCCCTCAGGTGGCTCAGACAGTGACAGCTCCACCCCGATGTCCTCTTATCCCTGACCCTAGAGCACAAGACTTGCAGTTCTGGTTAGTAAATATGTATAATAAATCACATTTAAAATATATACATTGGCCTTTAAAAAAAAAAACAAAACCAAAAACATTTACAGTTTATCAACATTGGAAAAAAATAACTGGGCTTGTCCCAGGTTGACTCATGAGAATAAAAATCAGTTTTAAAAGGTTTCTGCAAACCTTTTGATAAAGTGCCACTGGTTGTAGCTATTTAAAAACAATTGGGTCCACGACGTAGCACTTGCCTGTCAGACACAGTCATTTAAATACACTCAATGTGATGTATAAATCAGAGCAACCAACTAGCCAGGAGAGACATCTTAACTGCCTCAAACTGACCTCAAGTCCCAGCCAACAAGTTGTTTTTTTTTTTCCCAGGGCTTTTTTGTCTTTGCTTTTCAGCCTAGAAGCCAGGCAGGCACCTCCTGCCTACCCGGCCTGTGGCACAACTGGTGCTCACAAGCAGAGACCCTTGGGAACATCCAGGCGGGCTCTGCTCGCAGGGGCTGCTCCCCTTTCCATGCAAGGGGCTGCGAACAGTCCAATTCAGTCACAAACTCCTAAAAGGATTGGGAAGCAACTGCCTCTTCAGCCATCTTCTCTCTTTCCAGTTTGGTTTTGCATTGGTAATGTTTTAAAAAGGGGGCGATATGTGAATTTTTTTTTTCCCCTTTGTTTGGAATTTTTGTAGCAAATGGCACTTTAGTACAATTTAAGGTTCCCTTCTGGTTCTCTGATGTTTTCATTTGCTTGGCATGCCAAGTGCAAGCCAAGTTCAGGGCTCTTGGACATATTTAGACATGCACTACTAAACAGATCCTGCTAGAGAAATCTGTTTTCAAGCTATATGCAGCCGTTCCTACCGCTTGGATGCGATGAGCTATCACTGCTGTTCCCCTGGTGCAGCCACGGGGCTGTGACTGCATCCAGCCTGTATGCGGAGTAGCTGTTGCCGAGCTGAAGTCACCTAATGCACGCGGGGTCACCTCTCCCGCTGGGTTTTAGTGCTGCAAGGAAGCATCTCCAGAGTCCCAAACACTGCTACTGTTTAACAAGGCTCACAGCGGAGTCTGTGCCAGCAGCTCCCGGCAGGGAGGGGGAGTGAGGAAAGGGACCATTCTCTCCCCAAAAAAGGGAAAGGGGGGGGGGGGGGGGGGGCACTAACCATGCTGCTACTTCACCCTGGAAGCACTGGGGTGACAGTTTGTGTAATCACGGTGTCAGCAGAGGGCAGCCTCCATTTAGCAGCGTGATCCAGCCAGACTGGCACAAATGCACAGGCCTTCGGTGCTGCCATCGCCATCCTCATCAATCTGGGGAAGGGGCAGGTAGACCTCCATGTCCGGCAGGGCTGTGGCAGAGCATCCACTGCTTCGCAGGCTCTGCCAGTCCCATCTTGAGGGGTTTGTGGGTCCTACTGGAGGGATTTTGATCCACTTGGATTACATGCTGCCTAATGCTGATGCATTTGGAAAAGCAACAAATAAAGCAGAAAGGTTCCTTCTCGCTCCACAAGCTGCCAAATTGCAGCCAGCCCTGTCTTCTTTTAGCTGCTGTCAAGCCTTGCCGGGGCTGGGATCTGCTCAGTAAATAGCCAGCTCGGTGGCGGCTGCCCAGGGAGGTCTCTCCTTTGACACATTGTTGGCAGAGGATAAATAGTAAGAGGCAGGACTCAGCAAAGCAGCAGGGAAAG